TCCAGAGCCCTGCCACCCCAAAGCTCCTGAGCCCTGCCACCCCAAGGTTCCTGAGCCATGTCTCCCAACGGTCACTCCAGCACCAGCTCAGCAGAAGACCAAGCAGAAGTAATGGGGTCCACAGCCAAGCAAGCCCTTGAGGAGCCAACCACTGGATGCTGAATCCCCTCTCCCATTCTGCTTCTGTGTCTTACTTACAATTAGCATGCTGTCACCCTGAGTCATACCCTCCCTCTTTGCACCCTCTACAAGATTTCCCTCACATTGCTCTAGAGGGCTCTGAGCCTCTGAATGATGCTGAGAGTCTCACTGGCTGAGCTACTCTTTTAACTGCTCAGGGCTCATCTAAAGAGGGGCCTGGGGATCAAGCGGATCTTTCCTGCCTTCTCCCCATTAAACCACTTTTAACTCCATAGCTGGCTGTGCTTGTCATTGGCTGACTCAACTTTCTCCTTGTTCTCTCATCATGAAGCAGCAAAGGGCCTGGCACAGGCACTGAGAGCATGGGTGTGTGTGTGTGTGTGTGTGTGTGTGTGTGTGTGTTCATGGGCTGGCAATGGGTCAAGGCTACCCAGAGCCCATTACTTTGGGCAGCCTTAGCTAGAGCAGAGCTTCTTTTGCACCTGAGTGAGTTCTATGAGTGTAGATGGTACATGTTTCAAGCCATCTCTGACTCAATCCTGGCCCCCAAGTTGCTTTTTTTCTTTTTGGTTTATTTCTTTATTATTATTTTTTTATTCCAAAGAAATAGTGCTCGTAAAAATTGCAACATGATTATTGATGCATCCTCCTTTGCTGATGCCCCAACACATGGAGCCAAACCCTGAATCACTCATACTCACAGACACACGCACACAGATAGACTTCTGCACACACCGACACCCCAAATCACATGACACACACACACATACCTGCTGATTTGATCACCCTACTCTGTCTTTATCTTTCACTGAGACCCCTGTGCTATAGCAGGACAAAGGAAAGTAGAATCCACAGTGCCTGCCTAAGAGAAGCTTAAGGGGGTGATCCTCACCCCTTTCCATGTCAATAGACATTCATGCAAATATGCACTGATACCAAAGCACACACACACCTCCCCCTGCTCTCTTGTGCCCCCCTTCTCCCCTCAGCCTCCCTCCCCACATATACAGGGTACCTCTCCAAAGAGACCATAAAAGTAAATGCATCAAAGAAGAAAAAGAAAGTTTAGGTAGGTTTCAGAAGGAAAACTGTTTAATGCAGATAAGACAGTCAGCCTGAAATTAAGGGAAAACAGGTCATCACCAGGTAAAATGTTAGGGTGAAAGGACACTTGAAAACACCTAGCAAGCCCATTCAGCCTCAAGATAAAACAATATCCTTCAAGGTAAAATGATATCCTGATATCCTTCCCCAGAAAGGAGAAGATAATTCATCAAGACCACCCAGAAATCATATTTCTGAGTCATATCCAGGGTTCAGCTCTTCAGATTCCCACCATCAGCTCTCTCCCTACAGCCATGTCTTCTTGACTTTGCTGGTAACCAGCAAAAAGTCTAGAGGCTGAGAGATCAACAGAATTTCCAGTGGGGCTGCAGTGGTCACTGGGGAATGAACCCTACTTATAAAATAACATCAAGCAGATGTAAGGCAGGCAAAAGATGTGTTGCCCATCATCTGCCTCATACCTGTATGATGCACAAGCACTCCAGATATGTCTGGACAGAACTCCAGAGAAATTCGGAGACTATAAGACAAAAATTATCCAGCAAAGCTTTGCAAGTTGATGAGTAATCATCAGACAGGGAGGAGAGAATGGGATGTCACCTGGGTATGCAAGGTTTGTGCATGTCCAGGGGATTTCAAATTGCTGCTTGTTGGCATGATAGGTAATGTCAACAGTAACTCTAGGGTCAGTCACCATTACAGGGGCAGGTCGTGACTGGGGACACTGGTTGGTGACACATAGCTCTTAGGGACACAAAGTCAAGAAATGATCTTAATAAAAATCCTTACACACCTGCATGCCTTCTGAATTCCACTGGGAAATACGCATTCAGACACACAATGATTTATTTATGAGTATCATCATGTCATATAATAGTGCAAATATTTAGGAAGGAAACAACATAAATTCTCCCAAAGAGAAAGTTGATTGAATAAATCATTTTATATCTGTCATGAAATATACTATGATCATAAAATAATATTTAGTCATATGGAAAAATGTTCAGACATTTTCAAGATCATGTAAAATATGGCATGTGAGACATAACATCTTTGTTAAAAATATATGGAGATATGTATAAATTTTTAAAAATCTGACATAAAATACAGCAAAACTTAATCAGTGACTATACTGGGCTAGAGAATAAAAGGTATTGACTATTTTATTCTTTGAACATCTCTATATTTTATTTATTTATTCATTTGTTTGTTTGTTTGTTTGTTTTTCATTTATTTAGATCACGCAGACAGTGGTGGGAGGGGCAGAGGCAAAGAGAGTATCTTAAGCAGGATCCAGGCTCAGCGCAGAGCCCGACACAGGGCTTGATCCCAAGACCCTGAGATCATGACTTGAACTGAAATCAAGAGTCAGGTGCTCAACCAGCTGAGCCACTCAGGCACAACTAAATCTCTCTATATTTTAAACACATTCTACATCATAGATTAGAATTATGTTTATTTATAACACTTCTTTCACATGTTTAAAAAAAGCCAAAGCAGTCCAAGATGTTGATGAGCTAGAGAATATGTTTTCCAAAACTTCTTCGAAGCCCTGCAGTAGTTTCCAGGCCAGCTGCCCACAAGGAAAAGAGGGAGGTACAGTTAAGCCTTTTTAAATTGATATTCTATACAAACCCCATGACCACCAAGGGTTAAACAAGGTTATGGGGTAGGTGTGAGCTCCTCTCCCCTCAGCTCCTTTCCTCTTCAATAATGGAATGCCATTCTCCCAGCCAAGAGTAGAGGGCAGGATACTGCTTTCGGGTGAGGAATTTTAGGGACAAACTGCACACAGGTTGGTAGACTGTAGGTGCATGGTGTGGTTGCAATCTCACCTGTGCAGATAAAGGAATGCACATTAGATTCTCTTCATGGATTGATCTTGGTTTCCTCACATTCATGTTCCTCCATCCTAGGAGCACCCCAGTCTCCATGTGTGCTGAAGGAAAAAGAAGATAGTACCTAGTTTAGATGACAACAGTTCAATAAGGGAGTTCAGCTTGACTGTGGGCTGTTTTCTCCTGTGTCTGACTCAGAAGAGCCTCTTTTCCAGCTGGCTTTCTGCGTCTGCCCACCTAATGTCCTTGACTTTCCACCAAGTTGCTCCTCCTGTAACCCTTTCCCCTCCTGTCTCTTTTCTGCTGTATGTTTAACACCCCTACTCCAGGCACCCCACATCTCTGCAGAACCAGGGGTCCGCCAAATGGTAGGAGCTTATTTGATGTCTGCTGGGATGTTGAATAGTCTGTACCTTTACCAGAAGATGCTGTGGATTTGAGGGGAATTCTGAACCTTGCTCTGTGAATGCTCAGTGCCTGTGTCATTCAAACTGCCAGGTGAAGTGGGGCCTCCAGTCCTGAGCCTTTGCCTGACATAGCATCATGGCTGCCCAATCCTGTTAAGATTTTCACAGGGCTTGGGTGTTAGCCCAGCTGTTCCACTTCCCTAGGACAGGGGCCTCCTGACCCTACAAATGGCTATTCCTCATAATTGCCACTCTTTTAAAATTTGATTCTCAATCTGTATTAAAGAATCAATCAGATGAGTTGGAATTCTTGATATTCATGTCTTTTTCTTCAAGAAAACACATAACAGATATCAGGGTATGATCTCTTGGAACATCTGCACTGTTAAAAACCTTTAGCTTCATGGTAATAATGATGATTATTTCTTATGAATAAAATTTAGAATTTAAATCCTGGAGTTTTTGTTGAATTCAACCAACATTTGTTGTTTCACAAAAGAATTTTCTTTGATGACATAAGAATGGAGGATCTTTATAATACAGAATGAATTGCTGAAAAGAAAAAAAATGCCAAATAAGAAGGTAGCCTCTCATTATAATTATAGATTTAGGTGATCAAAAAACATCCTCACAGATTAGATAGAGAATTTCCCAGCTCATAATATGAGCATTGGTTTCTCTCACCTCCTCTAACACCTTCACTTGCTTTCTTTGAACTTCCCTGAATTTGAATAAAAGCAAATGCAATGCAGCCTTTTTTTTGCTACCACCTGAATTTCCACCCATGTGTCTTGACCATGCCCCCTCTAGGGCTTAGAGACATGGACCCCAAAATGCCCAGTACCTCACACAACTCCACAGAACTCATCTTGCCATTGTCAGCATTAATTTTTTCAGTGTCAACCTATCCAAGTCAACACCTCCCAATGTCCAACCACACAGTGCCCACCTTAGTCATGTCCACAATGCCAGCCAATATGTTGTCCTGTGATGCTGCCTCCAACCAGCTAGCTGCAGTGAAACCCCAAAAGCAAGAAAATCCTCAAAAGCTTGCAGGACTAAAACACAACAAACATAAAGATTCTTTCTTTCAGCGGATTTCCATCACATTTCTTTCAAAGCCTATTCTTCCAATGGTAGGTGGCATTTTAATAGGTTTCATTCATAATCTCCTTGGAGAGATATCAAGGAATTGACTTCTTTTTTGCATTTGTTATCATGCAACATTCCAGGAACCAGCTGAGAAACCATCGTTCCTAGGCATGCCACACTTGCAGGTTCCAATGCCATCCTATACAAGTTTCTATGGAGATGGAAACATTCTCTGTCTATGCGGTCCAGTACAGTAGCCACCAGCCACATGTGGTTATTGAGATCATGAAATGTGGCCGGCATGACTGAGGAACTAAATTTTTAATCAGAATCAAATTTAATTACATTTATGTGTTCAGTCTTCAAATATTTATTAATTCATTAAGAATACCAAATATAAATCCATGGCAAATTCACATAAAACAACTATATTTTCCTAAACAAAAGAATTAGTTGTAAGAGTAGCACTTTTTAAAAATACCTTTAATGTCTGTGTTAGTGGAATATAGTTGGTCTCTCATATCTGCTTCTACATTCAATCTGTTGTGATGTGTTGTTTTGGTTGAAGAATATGGAGAAAATACAGCCATATCACACAGATATGTAGTTGGGAAAGAGAAGAGTATTTTAGTAACTTTCATATAATTATGGATATCCTTTGACACTACACCAAAACTAACAAATAGTATTTTCTTAAAGATTAGTTGTGGAGAGAAGGAAAAGCTCTTCTCAACTCTCAAGTTCTTACAGCTGGACTAAAGATTAAATTTAGATGAGAGAGATTAACAGGAAAAAAACCCACAAAGTTTTATTCTGTGCACACAGAAACCCAATAAGGAAATTGAGACCCAAAGAAATGACCAGGGCTGG